TATTTTATTAGAAATGTAAATGCATACGCCTCCCCCCCATGCTCCACGATCCCTCCTATATAAATTATACCCTCCAAAAGATACCGCATCATCTGTAACATTTTCATTTAGCCAAGTTTCACACACAAATAAAATATCAAAATTATGTTGAAGATATATGGTCTTTACATTATGTAAATGTGCCAAAAGAGATCGTGCATTAAGACATCCTATATATAAATAGTCACACATTTTTATTTGAATTAGCAAAGAAAGGTTAAAAAAGAAACTGAGCCAAAATTAATATCGTATACTAAAGAAATAGATTATAAGAAAAAGAAATAGAAAAAACAAGAAAACTTGGGTACACATGAACTGCACCCATTGTATACTACCATTTTAACACTATAATGAAATAATTTTAAATTAACATCAAGTGATATTCATACTTACACACATTCCTTGAAAGAGAAAGGATATAAAATATTAAGTAGGTATAGATACATATAATAGGTAATTCACAGGAAAATTAAATCTTCAAGAATTATGAAACCTAATAGTTACAAACTATTAAAGTCCTCCATTGTAGCAATTTTATGGACAATTCCATTACCAAAATACTTAAAATATGTTGCACCGAAATTGGTTCAGACTTTCCCACTCATACCAACTTTGTCTAGTGCTAACTTGAAAAAAATCATTTGCATTGACGTCAGGTCTTCTCTAACTACAATTTTAGTTCCCTTAAGCAATTTTCTGTTAGATAAAATCAAATTCTTAACATGTCCACTATAGCATTTCACTAATAATGGCCTATATTGGCGTTTCCAAGTCGGAAGCAGCTCTCAAAAGCTGTTTCTTCTATGTTTAGTCTCATCTGCGTGTTAAAAACATCAAGCACAGTAGCCAAGCAATTTTCATTATCATTTTCTTTAAGACCATACACTAAAATATTGTTTTTAAGAATAAACTTTTCATATTTTTCATGGTTGTCCTTCACGGATTTAATAATAGCATCCTGATTGCGAACTGTCATTTCTAATTCATTCACTTTATTTCTCAAGAAATCAAGTTCTTTATTAATCACTGATGCTTGTGGTGATCGATTCACTTAGCTGAGTGATGAATGATTCTGATGTACATAGTTTACTCACAGCCAATTTGACTACCTGGTGCAGTTGATCCCCATCCTCAACCTTCTTTTGTTGTCTTGTTTAAAGCAGGTTTTAAAAGTTCTTGGAAAGACGCTTCTTAAAAAAAAACAGATCGATTGATCAATTAGTTACGTAGTTATAGCAGATTCAATTTCGAGCAGGCCGGAGCGGCCGCGCTTCTGCTTTCCCCACCACTACCACCCGTACGATTTTATTGAATTTCTCGCTTGCATAAATAACTTTAAACACGTTTTAAAGTAGGTTGTCAATGAAGAAAAGTATTGTAATCTTAGACCTGGTAAGTACTCGGAATACCAAAGGTATTTTTCGAAAAATTAGCCCGGATGTCCCAGTACATTTAGTGTAAATGACGGTTAAAACTACGTAACTAATTGATCAATCGATCTGTTTTTTTTTAAAGAAGCGTCTTTCCAAGAACTTTTAAAACCTGCTTTAAAAAATTTGATTTGATTGAATATTCACAAAGTTCTAATTGTTTATAAGTACAAAAATTCGACCAATGTTTAAACAAGCGCCAGAGCTCTCCTAATTGACGGATTCGAATTTTTCAAAAAAAGTTTGAAAGCTTGAGAGCCCTTCTATATGTGATTAAATTTTCAAGTATCTAAGGGCCTTGGTTTTTGCTGTGCAAAATTTTGAAAATTTGCAAATTTTTTTTCAAAATCTGGATTGCAAAATTATTATGCAATATCTATCGAACCGATTTTGCTGAAATTTGGTGTGATAATTCTACATAACATGAAGTTTTTTTGAGTCAAGTATAAAGGTACTATACCCAATATAAATACCCAAAAAAAATTCCCTAAAAAGTATTGTTTTTTAACCACATTTTTGCGATTTTTTCGATTTTTACCATAATAATCATGAATCATTCGACTTGTAACTAGACATGTTTTGTAAAAAATTTATTTGCAAACATTTTTTTCCTCTTCCATTTTCGCCTAAAATCAACTCTTGAAAAGATACATAATTAAATAGGAAGAAAAATATGGCATTTTTCGAATTTTCTTAACATATTGTGCCGCCAAAAGTTAAGCCCACGTTTTTTTTATGCGCATAGAAAAATTTTCATTTCTAGTGATATTTGAAAGCCAAAAAACCAAAAATCTCCGTGGATATACGATTCACCCAAACCAAAACAGACGCCGCCTAGTCTATATACCTACGGAGCAGCACCCTCTACGACCAACAGGAACCAAGATAAGATTTTTTTAAATCGTAGCGCAATTGTTTATAAACTTTAAGACTTGAATTTTTCGCAAAATAGAGTTTAAGACGTAAACTACGATTTCCCGTGAATTGCATTGAAAAATGTGGAAAATTAACGACTCACGAGCCCTTTAAAGAGAAGGTACTTGCTAAGTAAACTGTCCGGCGTGGTGATGGGGGAAGTTCAAATTGATGCGCGCTGTAAAATTTTGCAATATCTCGGCTTCTGTTCATCGTAGAAACTTTGTTTTTTTTTAAATGGGGTAGCTCGACGAAAAAATAACAATGGGCATATTTACGAATTCGTAGAATAGCCCTGAACCCCGGAAAAAAATGCATCTTTTATACTTAATTTTTCTTTAATTTGCAAAAATGTCACAAAAATTATTGTTAAACGAAATATTAATTAAAATTTCAATTTCGGAATTATTTTACTATTATTAAATAAATAAATGAAGTTTAGTTTAGGGCCGTCTAACTTTTTTATTTTAAGAGATAGAGAAAACTTATTTTTATAAAATTTCATGACAAAATTGATATCTTTCACCCGGTGCAAACAGATTTTGAAAATATCCTTTGTAATTTGCTGGGTCCTCTACGCGGACAAAAAAAATGTCATCGGAACAGGCTGTGGATTCAAAAAATGGCTTGATTTTTCCTCTTTCATGCGATGTACTAATGTCGCCTTTATCTTTTATATTTATTACATTTTTTCATTCATCAAAAATGTATATTAATGTAGAAATTGTTTTAAACAGGCCAACTACAAAAAATTTAATGAATATAATATATAACTTCATTTAAGCTAAGAATCTGCAATACCCGGCACTCAGCAGTTTACCATCATAAGTAAGATCCTATGAATTTGGTATCAAGAATTCTAACCCAAAAGTTTATTGAAAACCTCTGTTGAAATGCAGTTTCTCCGTGCCAATGTAAATTACGATTAGTCCATTTGAAGTAAATCATCCTATTAAAAAATCCATTGTTACAAACATTAGACACATCTGACCAGAGAATTCTTCTGCATATAAAAGAATCTTCCTTCTTTCTTTCTTGTCACCACCTACAGAACCCTAATCTCCTCGATTTATTTTCCTCCCTCAAGCTCAAGAGATGCACTTTTTTCACCTTATAATATTTGAAACCATTTTTTCTTATTATCCTTCTTGCACTATTCTTCTCTAAATTGTAGTCCACTTCAGTTTTACACTGTTTTGCTCATTTTCCCTATTTACATAATTTAAAATTCTGTTAACATTACCTATTTTATTAACAGCAGCTGATTTTATTAGCGAAGGTTTTCTACATTCCACAAGTGCTTGAACAGAATTGAAATTGCATTGATAGTATAATACAAACATATTACACTTCTTAATATGTGAAAATATCATTACATATTATTCAAAATTATAGTTTTCCAAATCATAGTTAACTGTAACAATTTTCAAACCAACAGTTATGTACAAACTATAACAATAAACAATTTGTTAAATAATGACATTACTGGGATAACACATTTGTTTTCATAGCGTACCTACTATATTTGGCGTAAGCTACTTTGTGCAAGAACAATGTTGAAGGCTTAGTTTTTTTTAAAGTAAAAAACCAATACATATTATAATAATATGAAAAGAAAATCTGTATTTCCCTTAAAAGAAGTACCTACATTATATTTATTAATTTTTTTGTAATTGCCACGTGTCTACAACAATTTCTACGTTAACACTAAAATGTTTAAATTTTTTATACCAAAATTGTAAAAAATGAAATAAATATAAAAGATACAGGCAACATGCAGTATATTGCATGAAAGAGGAAACAACAAGCAATTTTTTGTAGCCACAGCCTGCTTCGTGACATTTTTTTTTTGCCCGCGTAGAGGGTGTAGCAAATTACAAACAATATTTTAAAAATCTGTTTGCACCAGGTGAAAGATATCAATTTTGCCATGAAATTTTATTAAAATAAGTTTTCTCTATCTCATAAAATAAAAAAGTTAGACAAACCTAAACTTTCGGTGCTTTTCCGTTTTTTTATGATTACTCATAAAGTTGGCCATGGATCTCAAATTTGTTTTTACTAGCATAAAGGTCTCAAAAAATGCAACAAAAAAAATATAAAGATTTTTGACTTGCGTCGTATATTAAGTGAGATCCACAAGAGTGGCCCTCTTATAGTAGAAAGACTGTAGATATCCAGATAGCCGCAGAAGAAAAAAATTAGTTTTGAATAGGGAAAACCGTTTATTTTCTTTCAAAAATTTGAAGTACCTACGTAAAAATTCTGATAGTAAATGTTCAAAAGGATTATTTCACCCCAAGGTGACAGCGAGCGCAATACCCTAGGAGAATAATATTTAAAAAATAACTTTGGAAATTTGAATTCTTAAATTTATCATCCACTTTTAAAGGGCCTCTTAGAGGAGCTAGAATAAGAAAAATTCTCATGAAAATAACTACAACTATATTGGTTGTTGGTTCAACTAAAGTAAAAGTAATATTAGTTATAACTTTCTAGTTTTACGTTGTGCAGTTATTTTAATAAAATCAATATGTTCAATCAATAAATAATATAAATTATATCAATTATAAATTAACCTGTTTATTGATATCTGTGTTGATGTTTATTTCTCACCTGTAACTTTACCATTACATCTAGTACTAGTTATTAAACTTGCAACTAACAGCACTACAAACATTTCTTGTGTGCCCGTTAACAGTTTATCAAACTAAGTTTGCTCTTAATGTAAGACCACTTCAAAAACAACTAACGATTATAGGTGGAGTGTAAATGTACAAAATAAATACAAGTGGAAAAATGGGATACAAATTGTAATTTATTTAGGAAGGTATTATTACATAGCTTTATTAACAAATTTACTCTACAGGGGAACTTACTTATTGTTTTAAATTTTAATTGTAGATATATCCAAAAAACACATTAGTACTTACTGTAGTGTAAGGATACCTACTTTTTCCATAAAGATATTCATTTTGAAAATATTAAGATAATTTATTGTTTATATTTTTGTTCTCATAAGCTATATATGAATACCCATGTTACATAGTTCATATAGAAGCTTCTACATCTCTACAAATATGTTTGCAATATGCTTAGTTTTTGAGTGAAAAAAATTAATTATTGAAAAGTATTACATTTAACTCGAATTAATAAAAGTGGACCATTTTGAGACAATATAAAAATATTAACAAAAAATGAATAATTTCCCCACATGAAAAATAAAGAATATATTATTATTTAACATATACGTTTTTTGTTGACATTATAAAATATATATATAATGCGATATCATTGGCCTCCTTGGTGATTTCTGTCAACATGGGATAACTTTTTTGTTTGGTTGAAACACCTAAATTTTTTCAATTTTAACGCCACTTCCAAAAATGATTCACATATTCCTTAGAAATAAGATCGTTACATGTTTTGTGATAATAATTCTTTTCAAAAGATTGAAGTAAATTATTTTTTCATTTGCGATTGTAGATTTACACTTAGGGGACTAATCTCTACCACAAATAGGTTTGTTTCTGCAGCAGTCTCAAACTGTTTTCAAACTATCAGATATACTCGACCAATTAAGTTGTCTCGTACTTTCAGTGAGTAAAAAGTTTACGAATCAATTGCTCAAATATCTCTGATAATTTCACATCAGTCCTCAACTGCTGCAGAAACAGACCTAATATAAAACAAGACTATTAATTACTCTATGCCAACATAATGAATAAATCTGAGCATCGGTTCTGATTGCCGTCATAAAATTGATTTTTTGGCACTGATTATTAGTAGTGTTATCTTTGGTTTTAAATTTGTAACGTTATTCCTACTGTCAATTCGATATGTTACTTTTAGTTAAAAAAATAATAAAGCAAGAAATCTTTGGCACAAGCTGATTTTACAAACTAAATCTTAACTGTGATGTCACAAATCTGTATTCGAATACGGTTAGTTCTATTTTGATTAATTTTTAAGCAAAATATGGGTTCCGATAAAACATTTAAACTAAAAATAATTAAACTCGATATCAACTTTTTTTTATGAGTATTTTATTTATATATAACATTCGGCATACAATTTTACTTAGGGAAACGACACCGTTTTTTTTTTAAGAAAAAAATATTACTCTTATCTTTTTTGCTCATTTTAGCAGCCTGTTCGCAAAGATTAAATTAATTTCAGGGTCAGGGACTGCAAAGCTAGTGTTTACAGTACAACTGAAGTGTTTTTTAGTCCCTCAAATGATTATTCATTAAATTAATCTTTAACCATTAAGCATATAATAATAAGTCCTTTATTATACAAACTAGCTAGTGTTAGGTACCAAAGAAACGTTTTTGATTTACAGACTCAACGCATTCTGAAAACAATTTTTAAAGTGCACACCCAGTATAAGTACTAACTGCAATCTTTTGAATTGAATTAGCCTATTACTAATTGGAAAGAGTGATTCTAAATAATGCACTTTTTGTGTTCTTGCTTATCATACGTGTCACTTTCATAAACTTAAATTAACAAAGATATTAATTCCAATTGCGTAGATACTTTATAGTATGAAAAACCGTAGGTACTAAGTACAAAGGTAATCAAGTTAACATCAATTATTATTTAAGTACCTACAGTAATCAAAAAGTTTTAATAGTAAGTATATTATAAAAACATCATAACTAAAATTACAAAGGTAACTTTACTTTTTCTTTTGTTTGCTTTGAAATGATAAATTTGGAAACTAACTTTCGGCATCTTTAATTCGGATATGTGCATTTTTGGAATCCTTGAGATGGCTGCCATATTCTCCGTGGGAGTTAACAATGTTGCTAGTGAACATTCAAAGTTTTTTGAAAATTATAAGATGTTGTAATTATTAATTTATCAGAGGGTAGATGACACAATATAAAGATGGTTTAATAGACAAATATAATTCTGGAATTAGGTTAAAAAGAAAGTCAGGAAAGTTTAGTTGAAAGTTTTTTAAATTCCATATGAGTTCTTGATGAACGATTTTCACAACATTTCTGTTAAATTTTATTTTAAAAATATGTAGTGTAAGAAATATTGAAATAAAATCCGGAATTCCAATAATTTTATATTCACTTAATATTACAGCTTTAATAGCCCGACAATTATGCGATTGTTCGTAGTTAAATCTGCAGTCAGAGTGTTCCTTGTTTCTCCTCTCGGTGGTGGTCTAGGTCATGGTCTCCTATTTGTTTATATTAGTTGGCCCAGACAGCGCGGCGGCGAGATCGGGATATGCAAGAATCAGCATTTCTGTCACGGCCTTTCCTGACCCTCGAGGGTCCTCGCTCGACTACAGGTACCGAGACCATACCTAAACCAAAAGAAATAAACAAGTAAACTACGAATGACAGCTGGGATTAAAATTAAGATAAAGAAATAGGAAGCTGTGCATTTCTGAAATTTCGGCTGCTCCTACCTAATACATAATATTTACAATACAGTGTGCACACTGAGAGATTAGTTTAAATATATACAAAGAATAATATACGCATAAATCCATAATAAACTAAGCTATTTTTGGAGCTCCAAGTTCCATGTAAGACATCAGGTAGACCCCCAGTCCTCCCAACTCCAGAGCAGAAAATCCCCTGCTCTGTCCTCTGGAAGAAAAAGATTATTATACCAGGAGGTCTTCCCAGGGATGGGCGTTTACGCGTCGACTTTAATTGTCGACGTCTACGTGTAGAGTTCGCGTAGACTATGTAAACGACGTAGACTATGTAGACAATGTAGACAAAGCGGAGTTTGCGCTCTAATTTCAGTTTAATCTAACCTATATATTATAAAATTATTTTGAAAGGGTACCTACAGGGTCGGAAAGTCCCCATGGTTCATCGGCCGTTACGTGAGAGCAATAAAGAAAGTCATAGAAATCCGTTTGATAGAGAAAGGTGGCTATAATGAAGGCGTCTAATAGTCATCGCCCAATTCGCCCTTCCACAAATTAAGATCCACTTCTTATTACCGTGTATAATATAAATTAGTAGAAATATTTAATAAAACATTTTTCTATTAATTTCTGTAACTCTAACACCTTTAGAAAAAATAAAATTAACGTGTTCTAACTAAACTAACATATCTACACAAAGTTCTAAAAATTTAATCAGATATTCCAAATTGTTGCCGACTTTAAAAATTTTAAAATTTTCATTAAAGAATATATGCGACATATCTTTATTTAGAGATTTTATAGAAAAAAAAAATTTTGGTCAATCTGACCTGACCTAAAACTATCGAGGAGCATCAAGCGAGACACACGTTTTTTTTTTCTCGTGAATTCTCGGCAGATATTGTTTGATCTTTTGTACTCGGTTCATACATTTTTTTTATAGATGGTTGTGATAGGTAGGTACTTTTCCAAATTCCAAATTTTCAATTTTTCTTTTTTTGCAAGAATCACGAGTTACAGCCTTACGAAATTCTTTTTTTGAGGTACATACCAATCACACCTTTTTCTAGTTTTGGGAGTTTCTTAATTGTTGACATTGTCGACATTGTCTACATTGTCGACTCTTCCAAATTAAGTCTTCATCTAGGTCATTGTCTACGCGTAGACAATTGCATTGTCTACGTCGACATTGTCTACCCGCCCATCCCTGGGTCTTCCGAGATTCTTCTATCTCCTGTCTTCCTGACCCAGAGCAAATCGTTATGCCCTGTACCCTAAGCACTTATGTTCGGTCGCTGTCAGAACAATTTTATTCGCCCATGCTCAATGATAACGACCTAGAGCAAATCGTCATGCTCTAAGCCAGAACAAGGACCAGACTACGCCCCTACATGTGTACAACGTCCAGGCTACGCCCCTACATGTACACGGACCAGGCTACTCCCCTACATGTACGAGGACTAGGCTACGCCCCTACATATACACGGACCAGGCTACGCCCCAACATGTTCTGTACGCTTATGTGGTTCCTCCCCATAAGATATCCAAGGTTTCATATTTTCCATTCCAGTGATACCCTTATACGGAACACGAGACCTCATAACGATCGTTTTCCAGCACCTTGTTTATTCGAAAAGGCCCTCGCCATTTAGGCAGCAATTTACGACTTGTTTCAGTGTTTCGTATATCAGTAAGCAGTGGCGGCGCGTGAACATTGATTGAATGTGTTCTGCTTGGGATTGTTACATTTGTTGAATTGAATTCCGGGATATTAAGTGTCCGGAGAGCCTCTAAATGGCGCCGCAGGCGAAAAATTTTAAAATTGTCAAGGTCACGCGTTTTCCTGGCACTTCTGAATTTCATGGAACAATCCATTTATACAAAAATACAGATTTTCACAAGAACGATTTTTGAAATTGATACCGTTTTGAAATATCAATTCACGAATTACCTACTGACGGTATAAATAAATTGGAATAAACTATATAATATATATAATATATTTTATTAAATTATTGAATATTGTTTAAAAACAAAAAAATCGTTTGTGAAGTTTACCAACGTCGTAATAAATAATAATATAAGCTCCTAGATTTATTTTAGCGCGAGTACATTTGGATTCTTTAAATATTTTGTTGATATTTAATATGATTAAATACATAAAATTTTATGTGTTCTGCAGCTCTTATGGTAAAACCGCCACTGGCAGTAAACCTCAAGAGAACCAAATCTCCTATGTGATACGGTTTGCCAGGTATACGTTTTTCATCAAACCTGCGTTTTTGTTCCTTTTAGTGCTCACCGGCCAATTTAACCATTCGTTCACGTATCGCTTTCATCCAAAGGCTGTTCAGGATCAT